ATAGTGACTTCGCCTGTCCTCCCGAGGGTTGTTTCACTTTTTTTGTCGACCAAGTCGTTTTCGGTCTACGCTTCCCTATACAAGCCGAGCTTTTGGAGATAAGCGACTTGTATAAAATCCCAATAAATCAGTTTTCTCCAAATGCTCTTTGTATCATGATAGCTTTTATCGTTGTTTCTCGTATAATTCTTCATTTTTTCTCGGCCGAATTTTTTCCTTATTGTTATAGCTATCGACTTCAAAAGGGGGCCCATTGTTTAATCCGTCGCCCTGGCGTTACCTTTCTTGATGATCTTTCTTCAAATGTCCCCGAGTGGAAGTCGAAATTTGTCTTCATTCGACCTCCCGTCGGTGCTTATCCTTATACAAATAATTGGATAAGTACCAGAGTTAAACAAAATAAACGGTCTCGATCCGAGGACTTCGAAAGATTTTTAGAGGAGTTGAATAGGTGTATTTATAGCGCTCGACGCATAATAAAAGATCGTGAGTTGGTCAATCATGCCCGAATCGTTCTGTATGACGATATTTCTCGCCTCGATGATCCCCGTAAGCTGCCTAACATTCCTTATAATGTCGAGTCTCATTCTCTATTTTTTAACCTTCGCCCCTTTTTGTTTTCAGTTAAAGCTCTTAAGCGGTTTGAGGTGAAGAAGACGCCCACTGCTCCTATTCCACCTGGCAGGTCCGGTACGCAGTCGGCTGCCCCGATTCGGAAACGCAAGCCCTCGGGTCCCAGCGCCCGCAAGAGACCTCAAGACGACCGTGCCCCTCCCCTGCTCCTTGGCGACCCTAAGCGTCGTAAGGTCGAAAAGGGTAAGGAGAAGGTGGCCGAAGAGAATGCTACGTCTAAACGAACGGAATCATCCGTTACTTATGAAGACGTGAGGATTCGGATGCCTTCCCGGCTCTGGAACCACCCGGATCCGCACGAGGTGGCGTACTACCTCCATTCCATGCTTCCTGAGGCCGACAAGGCTCGTGTCGAGGGGAACGACTACGAGCGTTCTTGTTACGCCACTCAATGCCTTACTCGGGTATGTGTTTTGATCTTAGCTAAGTCTCTCATGTTTGTGTATGCTCGTGCTTGTTATTGACGTAATAATTTTTTTTTTTTTTTAGTTCCTAGCGGCCGCTCTTCCTGGCCTTAAGGCCAGTACTCGACCCCCCACTTCTTCCACTAAAGCCCTCGAGGAAAAATGCGAGGCGCAGCTCAGGGAGAATGCCCAGTTAAAGAAAGAGCTGGGGGGGTCAAAAGCCTTGGTCGACAAGTTGAAAGCCGACAAAGCCGTTGCCCTGCATGACAATGAGAAGCTCCAAGCCGATCTTGAGAAGGCTCAGGAGGCGAACATGTATGAGGTAGACATCGGCATTGTTCAGGGCCGAAAGTCATTCTTGAGGACGGGCATATGCGCTGCCTTTGTCCGTGAGTATCGTAAGGAAGTCGTCAAGGCTTTCTGCAATTCTCCTGAGTTCCTCGACAAGCTCTGCCCTGCCGCCGTTCAATATTTCGACTATGCCTTCGACGCTTGGGAGGCTGTAGTGGCGGGATCTGAGTTTGCTAGAAAACTCGACCGGGAGGCCATGAAGCGTGCGCTTCCCGACCCCGACGGTTATGAAG